TATATATATTATATATATATATATATATATATACACACATTATATACACAATATATATATTATAATAAATAAATGCATACACTACCGTTCAAAAGTTTGGGGACTGTAGATATTTTAATATTTCTAATGTCTCTTTTATGCTTAACAAGGCTGCATTTATTTGATCAAAAATACAGAAGAAATCTGTAATATTGTGAAATATTTTTACTATTTAAAATAACTATTTTCTATTTTAATATATTTTCAAATGTAACTTATTCCTTTAATGGTAAAGCTAAAATTTCAGCGTTATTACTCCAGTCTTCAGTGTCACATGATCCTTTAGAAATCATCCTAATATGCTGATTTGGTGCTCAAAAAAACATCTGGGTAGTCAGTAGTCCGTATTCTTCTGTTTTCTCTTCACATACCAGTTCTGCAATACAATGCAATGCATATTCCTTTTTAAAGCTTCCAAGCATCCAAATTATTTTAAAGTAGCGTTATTACTCCAGTCTTCAGTGTCACATGATCCTTTAGAAATCATCCTAATATGCTGATTTGGTGCTCAAAAAAACATTTCCTATTATTATTCTAAATGTTGAAAACAGTTGTGATACTTGATATTTTTGTGCAAATCGTGATATATCTTTTTCAGGAATCTTTGATGAATAGACATTAATTTAGATAAAACTTCAAATATTTAAAATATAGAAGTTTTTACTCTTAATTTTGATAAATTTATTGCATTCTTGCTGAATAAAAGTTTTCATTTCTTAAAAAAAAATACATAGTCCATTTGTATACAAAAAATCAAAAGTACATTTGAACGCTATAGTGTATAAATATTGTTTTACCTTTTTGTCGCTTAGACCTGTCACTTGGTCCACAAATTCCTCCTGGATCATGAAGGCAGCCAGGTTGGCAGTGTAACTGGCCAGGAAGATGACAGCGAAGAAGGCCCAGATGGACACTATGAATTTACGTGGTGCAGGATTCTTGTGCATTCTCTGCCTGAAATAAATACTAATCAGTTGTGAAGTCTTTGTTTTCATGTAAAGGAGGAGCACTCATTAGACTCGGATACGAGCCTCATGAACAAAACTTCCAGCGCCCGACATAACTTCAAGCCTGCAAAGTAAACACTCTAGACTGCAGTAAATACCCAGCAGAGACTGCAACGTCTTACCAAAGGTCAAACTCCTTTGTTGTGCTATTACAGGATCAAAACCACTGTGTTGCCACCAGTGGCGTAGCTTTCATTAGATCTTTGGGAGACACACACACACACTTTGTCACATAATCTAGCAATAAATATACTTACATGACCTAAATGCAAGGTGAACTGCATTAAGAATGTGAATATTAAATATTTATATATATATATATATATATATATATATATATATATATATAAAGAGTGTACCTTTTTGTCGCTTAGACCTGTCACTTGGTCCACAAATTCCTCCTGGATCATGAAGGCAGCCAGGTTGGCAGTGTAACTGGCCAGGAAGATGACAGCGAAGAAGGCCCAGATGGACACTATGAATTTACTGGTGGTGCCTTTAGGGTTTTGCACAGGCACAGAGTTGTTAAATACCAGGCCCCACAACAGCCACACTGCTTTCCCCATGGTGAAGGATGGTCCGTGGGGGTCTGCGGAAGATGTATTTTCAATAACATCCTTCATTTGTGCCAAGTCTTTCTCAGTGCTTTAATTTTGGAAATAACATTATCTCCCCTCTGCACGGTCATTAGAGTACTTGCACAGAATAAAGCCAACATACAGCACCCTACTGCTCAGCTGTTAATCTTCATATTCTTGAATAGTTCATCAGCCTTTTGTTTTCATATAAGCGGGACTGCATGCAAGAGTTCACCGTGAAACATTAGGATAAATATACAGAAGCTAGAAACGGTTCCTTTGTAAGGTGGGTGTAGAAATTGACAGTTGATTTATCTTTAGATTGCTTTGACGTGCCTCCTTTTTGAAAAAAGACAAATCGAAGCTTTAAACGAGTCATCTAACAAGAGAAGAAATGGTTTTTAGTGCCACATAACAAAGGCACTCCAAATGAGGCTACATGAATTAAATCTGATCCACTTGAATTAAATGAAAATGAACTGAACTTTATTGAACTAACTCGGAGCCTGAAACCACTCAGCGCCGAACACAGTGAAATTAAGTATAAATTAAGCCTTTATGTTTTGCAAAAGAACAGGGGGTTTGTGGTGCAGATGTGAGACACTCTATCAGAGCAGGGCAAGGATTTTCAAGTGTGCCTGAAACTGAAAGACCGACTGCATTGCAGGGGAAACGGAGGAGGAACCGTGGAGGGAGGGAGTGAGTAGCTGAGAGTGCTAGTTACGTACCTTTGCCCTGAGCGAGGTTCCTGTTGAAGCCCAGGGGGCTGATGTACTCAAACATGAAGACAGCCATTGCAGTCACCAGCAGCAGCATCACAAACATCATTATCCACACAGACGCGCTGAAGGGCTCTGCGGCGAAGGAGGAGCGAGAGACAGGTAGATCAGGGAAAAAAGTCACAGTCAGTGACTATCATCCAGGTATTCTGCTTGATATGTGACTATAGACAAGCTGAAGAGATTAAAGAGCTATACCGTGGGAAGCAAATGCGAAAGTGTCCATTGGGGAAGTTTCTCAGACCCTGTAATTATTGGCCTTATGCTAATTAAATAATGGCTTGCTGATCTAGTGCCATCAAGCATATGAATCTAAAAGCGGCCCACTTCAGCGGATTTGTGGGCGACTCTATCGGCCTGTCGGATCTGCGGTTTGATTGGTGGGAAGACTTCAATATTTTGACAGGTGGAAATACGACTTGCCCCTCACGATCGTCAAGAAAGCGGCTGCTGTGCCCTGCAGATAGTTACCTAAAAACGCTGATGGAGAGACGGTTCCGTTGCTACGGGATACCATCACACTAATCCCTGTTTCCACGAAGGGGACGGAGAAATCGATGGCCTCTGAGCGCTCCTCATTGATTGTCAGGGAGCCCACAGCCATGACTGCTTTTTTGTACACCACCTGCGGAAGACGACGAGACGACACGGAGGTTTAGTCAAAAGCTTCAAAGTTTATACAGAACACCTGGGACATTTCGATTCATTTTTTGCAGCCAATGAAACCTGAGTTCCAGCATTTCACTCTCTCTGGATCCAAATTGAACAAATATCTAGATCCTTTCCCCAATTTCACATTTGATTGCTATCAGGCTTTGACTGTTACAAAATTACCAGTGGAGAGCGCGCGAGAGAAGGAGAAGCGCACTGCGCTTCTGTGAACAAAACTTTATTCAATCTAACCTTTGTTTAGCTGTGTAAATGGAAAAGCAGCGTTCGATAACAAATCGCATCGGCAGATTTGGCTATTGAAATCTTCTCACCTCTCCCACCATGCCGTTCCACATGTTGTTGATCTTCTTCCCGTGCTTCCCGTTGGTCACTAGATAAAGGTCATAGGTGAACTTCACATTCCGAGCGATTTTCTTGAGGATGTCAATGCAGAAGCCTTTGCAGCACTTTTTAATGTACGTTCCTCCTCCCTCAGTGGTGTTGCTGATGGATAGAGCACATTAATCACAGTTCAACTTAAAGCAGAATATCTGAATCATGATGTCAGGACCATTTCAAGCTTAGCTGACTGATGCATTTTCTGGATTGTTCCATGCATAGGGAGAGATATGGCAGTATTGCAAGTTTTGTGCTTTAAATATGGGAATGAATGCCTAAATTATTCCAATGTCTTAGTCGGTAAGATTTTTTTTTTTTAAAGAAATAAATAAATACTTTTATTCAGCAAGGATGCATTAAATTGATTAAAAGTGAAAGTAAAGACTTACATTGTTACTAAAAATTTCTATTTCAACTAAATGTTGTTCTATATTAATCAAAGAATCCTGAAAAATGTGTCACTGTTTCCACAAAAATATTAAGCAGTACAACTGTTTTCAACATTGACAATAATGTTTCCTGAGCACTAAATCAGCATATTAGACTGATTTCTGAAGGATCATGTAGACTGGAGTAATGGCTTCTAAAAATTCAGCTTGGCCATCACAGAAATAAATTACATTTTAAAGTATATTCAAATAGAAAAAGATGTTACTTTACATTGTAATAAAATTTCACAATATTGTTGTTTTTACTGTATCAAATAAATGCAGCCTGGCGAGCATAAGAGGCTTCTTTCAAAAACTTTTAAAAATCATACCGACCTCAACATTTGAATGGTAATGTAGATGGAAACTTTAACCTATTTGATGAAAGAAATGTTAATGACCACAAACACTTATCAGTAAACTAAAACTTACAGAATGGCATTTTGGCGTTTTTAAACAATGTGCTCTCTCTGGACCGTAATGTATGAATTTGACAGATTTAAATGTATATTTATTGTCACAACCTAAATGTTTGGGGAATTAATCTGAGCACTTGTGATCAGATGTTAGAGTCTTTGATTTCATGACTACATATATCACACAATATGTCAGAGTGTTACTTCATGTTCGTAAATCACAGAAAAAAGGTTAAGCACAGATATTGAAATTATATATTATATTTTATATATTATATTTTAACATTTTAATCTCACCAGAAACATGAAAGTACGAACAAAATCATCGTTATCTTTGTAGACCTCCTTTAGTGCAGTTACTATACAGTGTGTGAACTTAATGTGAATTTCACTGCATGTACACAATAACCAATCATGTGTGAACAGAGCGGGATTAAGCACTCAGAAGAGGAGTCACAATTGTATTTAGCTGCAGTGTGTCTAAATCATATTTTGGACAGCAGCCTGCTTGTGCAGACCATTCACTAGCTGGGATTACAGTACAGTAGGTATAGTGTGCTGAAGCATGAACGATAAAGCCTTTCGCTGCCGGCAGTGGAGAAATTTCTTAATTACAATGAATAGTAAGGCTTTCCCTTGAGAGCCTCTCAGGGAGCCATCAAGGGAGTGCCAAACCTCTGGTGAAAATTGCAGTCGGCTGGAGATTTCTGATGCCTCATAAAGACCACCGCCAATCTGTGCCGACTTAATTGCAGAGGGGTTCCTGTTTTCCCGAGCGAGGAGGAAGACAATTCTATTTACAGGGCAATCAAGATGATTATTTCATTTGGACTGGGGGATAATGTCCTGTTTTTACACATAGTCAGGAGGGGTTGACTGGAGTAGAACCTGCATAACTCCAGCTTACAGTACGTCAAGTGTTCATACACTCAACTTTTATTTATTTCTCAGCAGAATTTATCCTAGGGTACCACCTCACCCAAACAAAAGTCCTGTTTACACATGGTATTAAAATCTGGGTGATCCAATCCCAAGCAGTTAGCCAGATACATTAATGTTTACCTGGCAAGGACTAGGAGTGGCACTTATTATCAAATGTACCAATTTATTTAATTATAATTCAACTTTTCATTTTTTAATTGTTAAAGAATATATTTATATTATTATACATTTTTATTTTTTAATTACAATAAAAATTTAAATAAATAGATCACTTTACTTAGGCCAACTTTACTTATGTCAAATGAATAAAGAAAAACATTTGGCAAAAAGACAAACAAATGCAATGTAGATGTTGCAATTAAAAATGACTTTTGAATTTTTTTCTTTATTGTTAAATTTAATGACATATTTAAACAACAATTAGATTAACAGTTTTAAATGTCCATTTTGTTTATTTTATTTTTTTTGCCAAATCAACAATTTGATTTATTTATTCAGATTTGTGCATATTTTTCATATGCAGAGATCCTTACACTGAGTCAGGAATGCGCAAAACTTTTGGTTTTGTCCAAGACAGTTTACAGAACACTTATTATAGGGACAATCCCCCTGGAGTAGCCTGGGGGGTAAGTGCTTTGCTCAAGGGCAAAATGGCAGTGGTTAATGGACTGTCCCTTGTTGGGTTTAAACCTACAACCTTTTGGTTAACAGGATCCTTAACTACAAGTCTGCACAACATGCACACTGGTGAAGGCATGTTCTGGACATAATTATGAGAGACTGGTGTGAATATAGAACACTCTCCAATTAGCAGACAGTTGTTCAAAGCAGCTAAGCTTGTAGAGAAAAGTGTACTTTAGTAAAGAAAAAAATGACAGGGTTGCAGACAGGACAGAGCTGCATTAGTAATCACGCCACCATCTGTGAGTGGAGCATATCCACTGCAGAGTTCAGACAGACAACACTTAAATTAGCAAAGTCACCTGGGAAAACCTCATTTAACTTTTAGATTGAAGCTAATTAAGACTCGGCTCTCTATGTTCTTTAAACAGATCAGCAATAAGAAAAAAACCACTTATGAGTATACTTTGTCTCCACAGATTGCTCCCATGCACGCCAATTCCTTCTTCTCACTGCGACCTATTTTTTGCTATCGCCATGTATTTGATGTAGTCCCGATGTAGCCCCAGATGTAGTCTGCATGCAACGACTATAAATATTTTTTTCAGAGACCTCAAAATAATGCAAATACTTCCATTATGTCTTACCAGAGAAAGTGCATGTGCACTGCGTAAACCTTCATTACTGGAGATGCCAGAGGTTGAACAAAACAAAACGAAAAATCTATGAAAAATTACTCTGCTTATCAAAATTATTATTAAAATAAAAATTACTGCACCTCAAAAAATGTGCATTGCATAGGCCTTCATTACTAGGGAAGCAAAAGTTTGAAATATAAAATAAAATAACAAAATAAAATATTAAATATTCTGTTTATCAAAATTATCATTAAAATAAAAATTACTACAACTTTAAGAAGTGAATTTTTTACTTTTAATCACAGAATCATTTGCCTGATTGTCCTAGCTGCTCCATAACCAGTACCTGAACAATATAAATGAGTCTACAATGCAGATACAGTACAGTCTACAAATGACTGAAAAGCTGAGCTATGAAAACATAATCTGTTATTATGTTTGAAAAAAAAAGCTAATTGTAAATCCAGCCGAGCACTGATCTCATGAAAGCAGAGGAGTGTTTTTGGCAGCAAGAAGTGGCTGCATGCCTTCTGACTGCAGAAATGAACAAACTTTCCTGTTTCCACAATGAGAGAGACACACATTCGACTGCCTAGGCAAAATCCAGTTTAAAATCAATCTCTTCCCCTCTGCGCTGGCTATGACGCACACAATGAATTCCCCTGGCTCCTGCAGAGGTTCTATTCAAACTCTCACAAGGCAGAATCCATATTATTACATGTATTACAATGGGAGTCTTCCTCCCATTTTGATACCCAGCGGCAATAAGAGGGGCTCCCTTATGTCACCAGACCGCTTCCTCGCTACCTTTACTACACCAATTACATTCTTATGAACAGGGGCGGACTGGGACAAAAATTCAGCCCTGGCACTGTAGCCACACCGGCATGAAGACACACTGTCTGTTTGTTTCTTCTTTTAGAGATTTTTTTATTTTATTATTTTTTAATATGGCAGGCAATTCTGATTCCTTGCCCAGACAACACAAAGTGTGAAAATCTAGGAGTTAAATCTAAGAGGTAAAAGTTGGAGTTGATAGTCTGAGCTGATAGAGTTGACAACAGGCTTCAGATATCTGAATTCTGCCATTTGCTTTTAAAGTACAAATATCTCAGTGACTCATCAGAGTGATCTTGAATTGTGTGCATCTGTTTGTGTGTGTTGGTCACTGAAGCATGTTTCCTCTGTGTCTGCAGCTTGTCAAGCTGGCACTGCATCAGTTTCTGCATCTATAGACCTCAGTGGCAGCTAAAGTAGAGGGTAAAACAACAGCTGAGGATACCAGATGAGCTGCTGTTCACACATCATCACATTTATCTCTGACAAAGGTCAGTCAGAGTCTTAGACTGTCTGTCTGTCAGACTGGGCCAAAAAAGTCTTAAAGTATTAGTTCACCCATCAAAATGAAACTTCTGTCATCTTTTACATATCTTAATTTCATTCCAAGCCTGCTGAATTTCTTCTTTCATGAAACAAAAAAAAGAGAATTTTTGAAGATCTACTTATTTTGAGGCCACACTTTTTATTTGATATAAAATCAAATGAATGCAGCCTTGGTGAGCATAAGAGACCACTTTCAAAAACATTCAAAAAATCTTACCAACCCCAAACTTATTTATTAACTTATTTACTCACCCTCATGCCTTCTCCAAACCTAAATGATAATAATAATATGATAATAATAATAATTATTATTATTACAATTTAAAATAGTTTTCTAATGGAATACTTTAAAAAATTTAATTTATTCCTGTGATGCAAAGCTGAATTTTCAGCATCATTACTCCAGTATTCAGTGTCACATGATCCTTCAGAAATAATTTTAATATGCTGATTTGTTGCTCAATACATATTTCTTATTATTATCAATGTTGAAAACAGTTGTGGCACTTAATGTTTTTGTGGAAACAGTGACACATTTTATTTCAGAATTCTTTGATAAATAGAAAAAAAAACAGCATTTATAAGAAATTGATTTTTTTGTAACAACATAAAAGTCTTTATTGGCAGTTTTGATCAATTTAAACTGTTATATACTGTGATATACTGTAGGGCTGCACGATTATGACAAAAATCATAATTGTCGATTATTCCCTTGAAACATGTAGAAAGAAAAAAACGCATCTTAATCGTGCAGAATAACTTAAGTGGACTTTGAACGATCAATTGCCGCTTTGAACGATTACGTAATTGTGGCATCCATAATTGTAATCGCGATTAGAAATTCGATTAATTGTGCAACCCTAATATACTGTTTATATCAGTGACAGATGAGCTTTCAAATAAGTAAGAAATCTTCTATTGCTTTTACCGTAAACATTCTGTTTACTGTGATTATGGCTCAGTAGTTAAGTTGACTGAGTAATTTTATGATAAAAGCAAGCAGATAAGGAACCAATAAAGTTAGGCTGAGAGAGAGACACAGAGAAAGAGAGGCAGGTCTATCTCAGGGAGGACCGGACTATATATCCTGCCAGTGTCTTTGCATGCCTCAGTAATTTCTTCCTCCCTTTCCTCTTCCTCCAAACGGGCATAATGCTTGAAATTGGACTGTGCCATTGAAGGAACACAACAGAGAGCACTGGCCTGTTTGCAAGTGGACATGTGTGGCATCCATGTACACTCTCGTGTGTTTGTGCATTTTCTCAGTTCTTTAATGAGACTAATCTTCATGCATACAGGGCAAGCTATAGTGATCCTATGAGATCATATATTCTTCGCCCTATTTAGCAGTGTAAAAAAATCCAATAAAAGCGTTTCTTTACATGGGCAGTTTTCACACTCTGTGTTAATCATGGCTCACAGATCACAACAACTTTTATGACTGTGCCTTTTTTTAATAAACTCAAACATGTAAACTACTGTTCATAAGTCTGGGGTCTGTACAATTTTAAAAAAAGATAATAAGAATAATTTTATTCAGCATTAATTTGATCAAAAGTGGCAGTAAAGACATAAAACTGTTTTCAGCATTGATAAGAAATGTTTCTTCAGCATCGAATCAGCATATAAGAATGATTTTTGAAGGATCGTGTGACACTAAAGACTGGAGTAATGACTGCTGATAAATCAGCTTTGCCATCACCAGAATATATTAACAATATTTCATAATATTACTGTTTATACTGTAACTTTAGAAAAGGCATTTTTTATTTTAGAAAATTAATTTTTTAGAAAAACCTTTGGGTCTCCCTTGGAAAATAAGCACCTAAAACTCAGTTAACACCTGTAAAATTCCAATCTAGTGTCAAGCGGACAGTAACACACTACAATACTTATTGATGTACAGTATGTAGTCATGCAATCAACAACCCTCCACATATATCAAACATTCTTTAAGAGTGCTCTAACATCACTCTACGCACCTCTCTAGGGTCAGAAAGTCAAACATCCATCGGTTTGAGAGTGATTCTTTCAGGGGATGTGTGAGTGATAGAGAAGGTGAGCAGCAAGCCTTACTCTTTGATGTGTTTGCGGCAGGGCACAGAGTTTCTCATGCAGGTGCCTGTCAGGCGCTCCACATTCTCCACAATGACAAAAGGCTTCTCCTCTAGAGTTACAATGGTCAGGTGATTGTCGTCTGTCTCCGCATCACCAAAAGAGTTGAAGCGAGGCCACACAGGATATTTCAAAGTCAAACTCTGGTTCTCCCATTTGCCCATCTGGAAATGAATTGAAAAGAGGAGTGTCACATTACTGCTCAATAGCTTACTGGCATTATTTTTTTACTTACAATATTGCCAACACATCAATGTACACAATAACAACAGTGACAGAAAGGAAAAAAACGGAAAGATTAAAAAATAGGTGCTCATGATTGTAATGAAATTGTAAAAAAAAATCAAACTAAAATTAAAATAATATTAATAAAAAATATTAATAAAAAATATTGAAAAACTTTTTAAGTGTGAAATGTGAAAATTTAAAAAGTGTGAATGTGAAGTAAGTTCTTCAAATGATTTCACACATTTATAATAGTGAAAGAGAAGGTGTGACTCTGTCTCAACCTCACCAGTGTCACACTAACACAGATTTGTTTTTCCTTTGGATGCCATGTTTGTCTGTGTCTGTCTTCTATGGCTAGACTGTGATCACTAAGCATGTATTTGCTGAGGATCCGTCTCTGCTTTGTGTCTTTCGCTCTGTCTCTCTCTCAGTCCCAGAGAGCAAGGTGTGGGGATAAAGCAATGCTTGAGAGCAAATCATATCAGATCCACCGATGCCAGGCAAACACATTCATCAAACAGTGCCACATACAATAACAACAGTGACAGAAAGGAAAAAAACGGAAAGATTAAAAAATAGGTGCTCATGATTGTAATGAAATTGTAAAAAAAAATCAAACTAAAATTAAAATAATATTAATAAAAAATATTGAAAAACTTTTTAAGTGTGAAATGTGAAAATTTAAAAAGTGTGAATGTGAAATAAGTTCTTCAAATGATTTCACACATTTATAATAGTGAAAGAGAAGGTGTGACTCTGTCTCAACCTCACCAGTGTCACACTAACACAGATTTGTTTTTCCTTTGGATGCCATGTTTGTCTGTGTCTGTCTTCTATGGCTAGACTGTGATCACTAAGCATGTATTTGCTGAGGATCCGTCTCTGCTTTGTGTCTTTCGCTCTGTCTCTCTCTCAGTCCCAGAGAGCAAGGTGTGGGGATAAAGCAATGCTTGAGAGCAAATCATATCAGATCCACCGATGCCAGGCAAACACATTCATCAAACAGTGCCACATAACACAGTCCCTGTGTCTGAATATGCAAAAATACACAAAAACAAAGATGTGACATGAAAAAGATCAAATAAATTTCTACAGTATGTTGTTTAAAAAATAAAACATAGTTTACAATTTTAAATAAATAAATAAACAAACAAACTTAATACACAAAAATACAGGGACAGGAAAAAGATCAAATAAAATACATTGTAACAGTGTATACAGTATGTTGTATAATGTTACAATTTAACATTGTTAAAAAAAGAAATAAATAAAAAGATGTAAATAAACAAATAAAACTAATCAAATAGTTCCACATAACACAGTCCTTACACACACACACACACACACACACACAGACACACACACACAAAGAGTAAGAAAATGCCAGTAAATCATAAAATTATACAGTATGCTTTTTTTAAATAAAGTAATAAAGAAATGTAATAAAGAAACAAAAAATAAAACAAAAATAAATTATATTAATCAAATAGTGCCACATACAGTAATATATAGATACAGAGTTCCCTATCGATACTTCAATCGTACTGCGTCTGTTTAAGACGCTTGGGGAAAACTCCTTTATCTCCGATGACTGAAGCCTTTCAATAACGCAGTGTAACTGCATGGCCATTGGTTTGTGCAGGGAATAAAAAACAAACCAATGCTGAGTGTGTTTCATGCTTGGGCGCCGCCCACGCTAAAGCAGCACTCATTGAGATGGAATGTCCTCATTGCGAGGATATGAGTCTCGCCTCTCTGCGCTCGCGGAAAGCTTTCTTTTCAGAGAGCGACTCCGCCCCTCGCACCCTCCCGCTTTCTTCCTCTCAGGAGCCTGTGAGGAAAAAGCAGCGGGGCAGAGGAACTCGGCGCTCGGTGACGAGTGAGCCCACGCCGGCTGAGCCCCCGCGTACCTCACTCTTTCCACTCACCATTCTTTCCGGAGGTCCATGACGAGATCACCAAGTCTTGGCGTGCCCCCTACTCTGCCCGCCTTCGTGCCTCATCTTTGTCCGCCCTCCATCAGTCGATGGCGCCGAAGAAAAAGGATACGACAGACTGCCTCCCCTGGATGAGTCAGTGGCCACGCATCTCTGCCCGCCCACGGCCATCGGCTGGAAGGCAAAGGCCGC